CCGTAGCAGCTCATCATTTACGAGTCCTTTGCAATCAAAGCTGAAGAACGCAATTTCCTCCTGTTTGGCCTCAAAGACGAATGTTCAATCATCCTGTGCTGCTTACACCGTTAGAGGTCACGTGATTTGAGGGGAAGGTGAGAGGCGTTTCCCCCCCCGAACTCAAAGACAAAATAATCAATTTTCACAAGTCAGTGGCAGCACTTTCACTGACAGGCACACATGAGAAGAGAAAAAACAGAAAAATCAAAAGCCAAGTGAAAGGTCTGCTCTGATCTGATAGTCGACAGGAGCTAGAAATGAGCTTTAGCCACGGCTCCGAGCCTGGTATTCCTAATTAACCAAAAAGGCACAACATTCTTTAAACAGGAAATGTATCCAAGGCATTACTGGAAAATATCTGTTTCGCATTAACAATAAACAGAAATGAGCTGAAAACAAATATATTCACGAGCTCACATGTTCATCCAATATAAATGCATATTTCTATATATTTACATCATACATATATTTTACCATAAGTAAAGATCAGACAAAAAAATGTGTATTTGTTTTAACCATGGAAAAGTAGTAAAATACTAAAACATCACTTAGACTGTGATAAAGAGTTCAATGGCGAATATAAAAACATCGGAGCACAGCTCGGTCCATCCAGGACCCTAAAAGCCCAGCACGGTTTTCTTCTTCTGTGACTAAGCTGCATTAAGATCCGCGTGTTAAAAGGACGCTCCTGTTAGAAGGTGGTCTTCTCACGAACCTATTAAAAAGCCAGAGTACACCTCTGGAGCCTTTAAGATATCTCAGATCAAACACCTCTGCCTTTAATGCTTCGCACTCTGGTAGAAACAGCCTCCCTCCAACCCCCCCACCCCTCACCCTAACCCTCACCCTCACCCCTCCTCATGCTTCATTTCCACATCATTAGTTCCCCGTGCTGTCAAAGGTAAGTTAAAAAAAAAAAGGTAATGCATTCTTTTTTAAACCTGTTTTTGCATCAGTATCGGGCTCCTGCCTTTGGAGTGTCAGTGTAAGTGCAAAAAAAAAAAAAAAAAAAACTAACGCTGCAGGAAAACTGAACCTGTTTTTTCCTGTGAAAACCTGAAAAGACTTTATTGTGCTGCTCGCTTCAGCATCAGTTGAAGGATCTTGGGTTGGGTTTGTGACAAAAATAGTACCAAAGAAAGAGGCAGATGTAAAAGAGGTGACAGGTAGAGGGTGATGGGGGGACGGCGGGGGGGGGGGGGGAGGAAGGGTAAACATAATTACAGATTTTTTTTTTCCTGTTTGTTTTTCCAACAGTTGTTGCCATTCACAAGGTGAGTCTTGAAAACAGGAGTTGTTTCTCTCAGTGCAACAAACTGCTCTTTTCCACAGTGAGAGAAGCTGGATTTAACAACTCCCCTAACGATTTGATCATTTTCTGTCACACTTTTCACATGGCTGCAAAAAAAAAATAAAAAAAATAAAAGTGTGACAGAGCAGAAGCAGCGCCACCATGCTGCTAATTCAACAGCTAATTCATTCTACTCAATCCTCGCACCAATAATCCTGATTCCCTGGCAGACACATGTTCACCAACACACAGTGGAAAGAGTTTACATCGGCCGACACTCCCCGGTCGACGGTAAAGCAGAGTAATGAGCCGGAGGCTGCGAGCCTTCCCTCGACTGCAGCCTGTGAGTGGTTAATTAATCAGACAGCTCTCCCCCCCCCCCCCCCCCCCCCCCCTGCAGACACACACCTCTTCAAATCAGACAAACACACAAACACCCTCCCTCCCCTCCATCACTTTCCCCCTTTAACCCAGCTCCGTGGCTAACTCCAGGCAGAGGCGTAACGCTGCCGGAGCGTGAAAGGTCAGAAAAATAAACAAATAGAAAGTCTTTAACTGTGAGTTTGGTAATTAACGTTCACACAAGTGAAAACTACTCGGTCATCTCCAAACTCTTCATCACAATAAGGTCAGCGTGGAGTTGGAACTGATGGTAGCTTCAACTGATAAGACGAGCTTCGACTTTCACAGATCGCCGATCAATACTGCCCCCCCAACACAAAATAAACTAAAACTTCAGGAGCTTTTGGTTACTTCTTATTAATAATCTTGTGTTTTAAAGAAGATTCAAGTTCAGCTCGCCTCAGTCTCAGGCGGTTGACAGTTTTTAAACAGGTTGCCCTTCCCTGATACACCTGGGATTTGGCTTCAGGTGGCATCAAAACCAGAACTTCCCAGGAGAACTTTCTGCATCGCTCTAGACTTATCCATGTTTTAAAAGTCTGGGAAAAACCCCACAGTGATGAGGAGAACATGAATCTGCTGAACAGAGGCCATCATCCAAGGCAGGACACAAAAACCAAAGACCTTATTCTTACTCCATATTTTTGAAGAATACTGTGTATAAAAACACAGCAGTCACTGGTTTTCAGATCCTCGTCTCAGTCCCAGAATGTCCCTAGAAAAGGTTGAAGTTTAGTCAGAGGAGAATCCAAACTAACGTCAAGTCAAGTCCAGATCAAGTTCCAAGGGTTTCAAGTCACAACTCTGAGTCACTGAAGAAAGGTTTGAGTTTTAATCCAAGATCCATGTCACGCAGGACAATTCCATTTTTCCAGCTTAAGTTGAGTCTGAGTCATAAAAAAGTGTGAGATAAGAAATGTTTGAAGTGAGTCATCAGAGGGGGGGGGGGGGTCAGGGTAAGAGACCTGGTTTCAAGGACTTTGTCAGTGAATCCTGCTCCACAAAAAATAATTTCTGAATTTTCAAAATGAACGAGTGAATAGGTGTGAATGTGAGTGTGAATGGTTCCTGGTCTTTGTTTCCAAGTACAGTTTTATCTTCAATCATCGCCTCGTCACCTGACCAGCCCGACATCACGGCACTCCACCTGCGTGGATTTATAACTGTTTCCTCATCCAAAGACAAAGAGACATAGATTAAAGTAACATCTGGCACCTTCCAATGAGTTTGTGACAGAAGGACATGTTGCATCGCTCATCTTCAGCTGCTATTCATCACCAAGGATGACCTGCAGTGGCGCCTCTGTGTCAGGCAGAGATAAAAAGGTGACAGACAATCGTCCAGCGCTGATTCTCCCACACGGCCGCGTCTCGCTTTTTATGCAGCACATATATACAGACGTACGTGTACAGGAAGATAAGTTTGTCTCAGGGACAGATTTAGTGGAGAAAAAGTTGCCACGTCAGTCTGGTGTTACTTTGATTTGTTGATCTTTCAGAGTAATGTCAGCGCTGCCATTCTGAATTGCAATTTGGAAGTTTCAGGAGCTCGGATTTGTCTTCGTTTGTCAGGCAGCTGGTGATTAAAGGACCAAATCGGGAAAGCTTGTGCAAAAATGTCTGCCTGAAAATATGTGCTTTTCCCCCCAAGCAGACCCAAACAGTTTTGGTTAATGAGCTAAATTCTGAAGTGTCAAGGGTCACGAATGTGTGAGGAAGAGATTTGAATAAAGAGGTTAATGGGAGCCACAAAGAGTGTTTTCTTCATATGTTCACAAGGCACAGCTAGCTTAAAATATATATTTATATATGTACATATGTATACATATTGATCTAGAGTAATGATGTACATACATGTGTACATATATGTACATATATACACTTCACCTAAAAGTCACCTAAAACAGGTCACGTCCATTAATTAAGGGGTTTATGGATTTTTTCTTCTTTTTTTTCTCCAATGCTAAGTAAAAACGACAGTATCCTAACTTTTAATGAGACCTAAAAACCTCTGTTCAAAAGACAGGTTTAGAACAAGCTGTGTTATTGCACTGTCTGAGGTTTTATGAGGACAGAACTGAACTGCACCGAGCAGCAGTTTGAAAAAGACATCACAAAAGCAGACAGGCCGGGCTGACTGGTCACGGAGTTTATCCTTCAGAGACATAATGAGCTTAAACACCAGAACAGAAGAGCCAGAACTGGGGCCTCAGTGAGAGCAGCATCATCCCAGGGCCGAGAACCCAAACTTCTGCAACAGTTTCAACCTGTGTCACATGGTGACACACTTCTTTAGAATCACAGTGGCACCAAATGCAGATGCCAATATAAAACTGCAGTACACTTTGGTAGCAGGGTTGCTGGAGAATATGTTAAAATGCCACTGTATATACAGAGACTATGCAGAACAATGAAGTCACATTTAAATATATACATGAGTCCAGTGTTTCCCAACCTTTTAGAACCACAGTACATGTTTTAAACTGGAAAATCCCATGACACACAAATATTAAATGTAAAGAAATATAACAATGTTCTAGTGTCTGTTTACTCACTGTGAAACCTGGGCTTGTTTAGTTGAACACAACCCTGATATACTTGCAGGAATTGAAGAAACACACGCTCACAGAGCTTCTTTAACAGCTCTGAGTTGGTGTCGTGACACAGTGGTTGGAATAAGTACTGCATAAGTACTGTAACTAGAATTATAGCTGCATACCTCCTGTATATTTTGTTTAAATTCTGCTGAGTCTGCTACGAATTTCATCCAAGATCAGGGTTTTTTTTTTTGCCAAACCTGGATCAATGAAAAACAGGCAAAGATTGAATCTGCTTTCAGAATCAGGAACTTAGTCGAACATAGCAGTGGATGAGCTGCGGAATAATTCAGTGCTACTACAGCTCAGATGTGCTGACGGTTTATATTTAAAATTCAGAACCTTTTTTTTGGTGCAGGAAGAAGGTAGACGTAGTTATCAGAAGGGATGATCCCCAAAGTTCAGCCCTGGTTTTTTCCAGTTGTTGTTTGAACATTAAGACATAGACCAAAAAACATTGGAGAAGAGAGAAGCCTCAAACAGCCACACTACCCGCTGATGAACTCCCGTGGAGCAGAGCGAGCAGGTCTGTCAAGTCGACTGTCTGCAATCAAGAAACCCCCATGAAGCTCCCTGCAGGTTCCCCGTCTGTTCATGACCGGCCCAGGGCACAGGCCACTAAAGGAACAGTCTGTGGAGCAGCGCTCTGACGTGTGACCACTGGCTTACCTTCAGCCCGCACAGTGAAGGGAGAATCTCCAGGTCGCCTGGCTGAGAACTGGCCCCCGAGAGAGGTCATTAGAAAGCACAGGCTGAAGAAGCCAATCCCCAGTATGAAGATCCTTGTGGAGGGGGGACGGATATGGGGGGGGGAGAGAGGAGGAGATAACAAAAGAGCAAAAGACATAGGTTAACACCCTGGAGACAGAAAATACAGAGAAAAAAAATCCCAGAAGAGAACTGTGGAAAGAATTTTCACCCAGAGAAGCAACTTTGTGAACTGTGATCACTCTGAGCTCTGAACCTCCACATTTTCTTTTCCTCCAACTATATTTCATACAAAACGCTTTGTGCAGACACTTCCCCGTGTCATTACAAAGAAATTGTAACACTGCAATTTCATACAAAACGCTTTGTGCAGACAAAGAAACTGTAACACTGCGCTCTCTGAGCAAATTCCCAACACAAAAGCATGAAATCTCAGGCAATAGCTGCACAATCGGCAACTCCGCCAACAATCAGCAAATGTTTCTTTGGCTTTTGGCAAAAGCCCCTGAAAACTCTCCTCAGTTTTTTACCACAGAGTGCAGGAACTGAAACATGGGGCCAAGGCAAACATCTGCAGATGTTTTAATTGTGTGGAACAGGCAGAGCGGGTCGTCTCATTTCTGTAGACCGCGGGCTGTCGTCTTGAATTTAAATAGGGCAGAAAAAAAAAAAACACCACACAAAAAGGTCGCACACTGAATCATGTTCGCTCTGTGAGGAAGCACAGGTGCTCAGAGTATAAGGTGAGGCTTCTGTTTGCATGATAAAAAAGTCAAGCAGGCAGAAGCAGAAATATTACATTAAAAAAAAATACAGAACTCTGTTGAAACCTGTGATTGCAGGGTGACCTTGCAGAAAAGCAGCAGCAGAAGAGTGAAAAGTCACAACAATGTTTATTAGTTATTAGACAATTTGTGTTGTTAACAAGGTCAGCTATCGATTCTGTGACAAAGGTCACATGGCACTTGCAAAGCGGCTACAAGAATCAGCAAATAATAAAGTTTTTTTGGTGGAAAATATTGAAATGTGTAGCTCATGTCTGTTCCTTCTCAATCAACTCTGCTGTTCTGTCCTATTATCTACACAGAAAACTTCATAACATCTGGCAACCTGGTACCAGCAGGACAGGCCGCCTGTGATGGATCATTCCTCACTGTGATTAAATCACTGGACTTGTTAGTAGCACTGGTCAGAGCCCGAACTTTGAATGAATCTGTAGCTGCTTTTTTGGCTTCTCTGCTCCTCCATCTGCTGCTGCGGTGGGTGAGGGGAAACATCGGGGCTGCGGCTGCTTCAGGGTGAGTTGGACTTTTTAAAAAACGTCTTAAAACAGTATTGTCATAAAGGTGTGTTTTATCGAGTGGGGGGGGGGGGGGGGGGGCAAAGTTGATCCACGCTTTACTTTAATTTAATTTCAAAGAATTTCCTCCATGCAGCTGAAAAGATTCCAACTGCAGCACAGGAAACACCCGGGAACTGCTGGACACAGAGGCAGCTGCACGGTTCAACATGCTCAGCCTGTGAACGCGCTCTTACCTGAATGGTTTGAAAGTGAGAAGACATCTCCTCACCATCGTGCACACGTCTCCGCTCAGTGCACTCATTTTCCACACAGGTACGAAGCCTCGCTCCGTCTGACCATCGTACAAGTGTGAGCAGCAGCCGGAGCACGAACCATAACTTTCAACCAAAGTCCGGTTGACTGGAGGAGGGCTTCGCCGCAAGGAGTAACTTTCCAGAACAGTGTGCTGCTGCTGCTGCTGCTGCTGTAATCCTCAGAGCAGTGTGCAGCCCCACTTTGCAGGGGGGTGAGGAGAGGGTGAGGAGAGGGTGAGGTGTTGTACCAACAACTGTCTTAAACGGTTCGCATGCGGAGACAAACAAAGAGCTGCTCAGTTGTGGAGCCCGTCTGAGCGGATGAAGCACTGACTGACTGCCTTTATCTGCTGCGTTTCTGTGGGGCGCCATCTACCGGTCCATGTGAAAACACTGCAGTTCCTCCCCACCCCCTGCGACCCGAACTCCACCGCAATGTAACGTGTAATTCTGAGGCAGATGTGATTTGAAAAAGTATCGTGCTGTGTATATTTTTGTTTGGAATTAAATAATGAGCAAAGATCAGTTTTCGAATTAACATTTGAATCAAAATAATTGAGTAATTACTCTACTGTAACTGCATTTTATTTATTTTATTCTCCAAAACTGAAAGAACATTTGAAAGGAACTGGATCTAAAAGATCAGGTGGTTACCAGGAGAGAATAAAACTCTGAATAATTCTGCTGAAGAAACGGTTTGATTTAATTTGAGGACATATAAACCCACAGTTTATTATTTTTTTTGTTATAAAAAGAAAATTCAATTTGTCTTGAACTTTATGAACTTTCTTCGGTAAAAATAAATAAATAAATAAAGGTGTCAAATAATTATTGTTAATAGTCTGTGGATCGTGTTAAATAATGAGCATGTAGGGAATTAACATCTTTGATCTGCTGGTTTGGTTTGAATACATGAATTAATATATGTTCACACATGAATATGTTTTCATTATTAGATCATCCGTGCGTGGGTGGAGTGAAGCGGTCACTCGGTACTAAACTCCACAAATCACTACGATCTCCCGAAAGGAGGCGCTACACGCGAAACACAACTTAGACCGGGAGTGAACTGCCCTTTTCTGCCAGGTCACATTTCAGCACCACTGACAGCTCCAGTCTGCAGATATGCAGCGGCCAGCAGTGACACACAGTGGACAAAATATATATTGCGTCTTGATTTTATACAACTGTAATTAATTTAGTGGGGAAAAATGAAAAATGAAATGAAAAATTAATTAATTAATTAATTAGTAAACAGATAAATAAATAAATAAATAAACATGTAATGTGATGTATTGTTATTTTATGGGCCATGTTGTTACCATTGGAACAATTGAGTCTAGGTTTACAAAGGTCAGAAAATATTATATATATATATTATATATATAAGTACAATTGTTATTTTGTCACCTTTTTCCTTTTATGAGACTTTTTGATTTATTAAAAGGATGTATGGACGACTAGGAGATCAATTTGTTGTGAAGAACACACAATGATGATAGCAATTTGTTGTGAAGAACACACAATGATAGACTACAATATATTTAAGGGGTAAAAAGTCTTCAGATTTCAAAACAATCTGCTGAGATTTCACTAATACATCAACTGTTTCTCTGCTGAATTTCCACTGTTGTGATTGCCTTTAATTGACAAGCAACAAGCAGCAACTGATAACGCGTATTAGAAAACATTGTCTATGTTAAGCTGGCAGAAATTGGTACCATCCCCTGTTGCCATGGTAAGTGTGTGGAGCTGCATATGGATCTTGGCTCCGAGCCCAGTGAGACTGGTGCTGTTGACATCAGAGGATCGGAGTGGAGATTTCAAATACTCTGCTGCTGAAATAATATTCATTTATTCTGAAATGACCATGTGAGAGGCTTTTCATTCGAGTACCTGCAGCTGAAGGCGCGGCAGAAATGATTCATGATTCAGAAACTGACAACATTATACATTTGTTTGCAGAAAAAATCTAACTCTGACCAGTGAAATGAGCAAATCCTCTCAGATCTAAGTGTTTTAGAGAGAGAGAGAGAGAGATGGGCTTTTGAAAGGATGACCAAGATCACATCACCAAAGGCCTTATTTCTCTCTTTATACTTTTTTATTCATCTCATCTAGTTTTTTTTTCTTCTTCTTTTTAGTATTTTTTTTACCGTCTCCTGCTTTATGCTGACCAAAAATCATCCATACTTCTGGTGGTTTAAGACAGTTATGCTGACCAAAAATCATCCATACTTCAGGTGGTTTAAGACAGTAAGTAATAATAATAATAATAATAATAATAATAATAATACATTATTAAAATGAAACTTACTGTCTAGGATGAACCTAATTCAGCAGTTACTCCAGTGATGGCCAGCAGAGGCAGTCTTTGCTCCATGTGGCTGAGGGAATCTGTGAGTGGATGAAAAATGTGGGGGAAAAAAATTAAAAAATCAAATGAAAGAAGAAGAATGCTGAAAAATCAATAATAACAATTCTACAGATTTCACATCTTAGAATACCTCCGTCCATGTGTAAAGCCATTCCAAAACTTTGTGTTTGTTGACATCAAAATGTTTGACAATCAGTGTTGTTTGCTGTTTGCTGGTTTGTTTAGAGGCGTGTAAGCGTTCCTTATTTCAGGAACACCATCCTGAAGTCATATCTGTTTGAACAATAAAACTATTCATCGAACTCAGTCGTGACATCTGTTCCTCAACACCTGCTGTACTTTAAGGCTCCAACAGTTAAAGTAACTGAGCTTTCGTAGAAGCTGCGGAGCATATGTGTCTACTGCGTCAGGCAGCGTTTGATTTTAAATTAAAAGAAAATATTTCTTGACACGTCTTTATTGTGTGGAAAAAAAATCCCACCTGAAAAGCACTTCAAACTGCAATTACATTTTTTTTTAATTTCTCATCCTCCTTACTGGCAACTTGCAGACCCTCAGAGGTCAGCGCACCACACTTTGGGCATCCCTGTGCAAAATGAATGGACAGGATGAGCTGAACAAACACGTACCAGACTCACCAGAGGTGAGTGGCGTTTTTTTTTTCCAGACTCTTGCATGTTACTGAGGGGGTCATACAGAGGCTGGTTCGTGACTCGGTAAGCTGTTGCTCAATGATGTTTGTGTTTCGGAGTCTGTGCCGTAAAGAAAAACAAAATCATAAAAATGTAAATTTGGTCGTTAGCCAAAAACAACATACACTGAAATTTTCCAAAGTCGCCACGACCGCCGCTTGAAACTTGTCTCTGCAGTCCCTCATTCCAGGACAGGTCTGCTCACGTCCTGTTTTCTGAGAGCTGCTGAGGATGACTCCCCCATCAGCAGAGGACTCTCACCTCAGTGGGCTGAGTTTGGGGTGAGTATTGACTTCTTTATGAGACCACCTTATGAATGAATAAAATACATCAGGTTGTTATTTAAGTCAGGCTTATTGTTTAAAGACTGATTTTGATGTAGGTTACACCGATGGCTCCCTCTGCCGGTGTGGACGTTTCACACACGTGGACATCGGTCGTGTTTTTCGCTGCAGCCTTCAGCGTAGTTGGTGAGAGACTTCATGTCTGTAGACTGATGTACTGCAAACTTTACACTGTATGATTTAACTTATACAGTATTGGAGGTTATCATGGGATAATCACGACATATATTTTTGGGACATTTAGCCTATAGTCTATACTAGCCTGGGCTCTGGGGCACCGAGAATAAAGGGGGGAGGATTTCAGGGGTCCATGATTAACTTATGATACTGACAAATGAATTATGTTGCCAGTCTCCCGGTCGGCTGTCTTAGGAAGCCAATAAAAATTCACGGGGCCCCGACGATACGTTCCAACAGTGAATTTTCAGACGTCAAGAGTAGGTTTTAAGAAATAACTATTTTAGTTGTGTAACCCTTGAAAGCCACAAGAGGGCAGAACACACCGACCAAGACCAAGCTGCTATTAACATGTACTGTATTTACCGAATATATGTGTATATGTATATGTATATGTATATATATATATATATATTCTTTCTTGTTGTTTAAGAATACTCAATGATAATAGATAATATATATATATATACATACATACATACATACATACATACATACATACATACATACATACATATATATTATGTCTCAAGAAAAAAGAAACAGATCCTGTTTCTTTAACCCTACTGTGTGACTCTGTTATCATGTAGTCAGTCAAAACCTCCAGGCTGTGCCCGAGGTTAAGGCGTCCTGCGGTCAGAACGTGAGCCTCACGTGTGATGCCAGCTCATCTAATGGACAGCTGAACATAAAACTGTTTTCCTGGCTGGGAAAAGGAACAACCTGGTGTCGGTATAAAGATAACACGACTGGTGCAGTGTGTGAAAGCACAGGCAATGGTTCCCATCACAGCCTCACTCTACAGCTCACCAACCTGGATCTGTCCGACCAGGGGGAATATCTCTGCAAACTGCTGTCCACTGTTGGAGTCAAATATGCCACCACTGTGGTTACAGTACAAGGTAGGAGTGAGTGACATCATCACAGGAGAATAAAACAGTCAGAAACCGTACATTTGTCTGTTGTTGTTGTTCAGTTTTTTAAAACATCTGTTTCACAGACTGCCTTGAAACACGTGGCTCGGCAGTGACCAAGTCTCAGCTTATGTGCTGGTTCACTGGAGTTTATCCCAACGGCACCGTCCACTGGTTTCATGGAGACCTGAATGTAACAGAGCAGGCCAATACCACGCAAGTGGTGAACAGCCACGGCGGCTTCAATGTCCTGAGTACCTTAAATATGCAGAAAGGAAACGAGGGTCCGCCGTATAACTGCTCACTGTGGATCCCCTCTGAGAGGAAGTATCTCTCCACCGAACAACTGACTTCTGCAGGATCACGGAGCAGCACGGACGGTCTGCAGTGGGTCTCTGCTGCAGCTGTGGTACTGTGTTTTCTGGACTTCATTTAGAAAAGCTGAGGAATAAGACAAAAGCAAAATAAAAAGCAAATGAAACAAAGATGCAGTAAAATGTTGGTTACAAAAAATACAAATAGAAAGAGTGATAGGAAGGTGATTAGAAATTGAAATTTTATACATATCGTATTTATGTGCATATATGCATGTGGAAGTAAATTGAATTGTGCAAACTGATATGCGTGTGTGTATTTTTATATATGTACATATATATACATATATTTATATATGTA